CTTCCTTCCTTCCTTCCTTCCTTCCTTCCTTCCTTCCTTCCTTCCTTCCTTCCTTCCTTCCTTCCTTCCTTGTCTTTTGACAAATCAATTCAGTTTTTCTTTAGTTACATAAAAATGATATATGTTTTTAAATTTTATGATTTTGAGAGAAAGAATCCTGCTGGCCAGCGTGCCAAGAATTCTAATGTGCTTTGAGTCACTTAGCCCCCGTTTCTTCATGAGGAATGTTAACCACTTCATGAAAATGGTGTGGATTAACCAAGCCAGTGCTCTGGAAAGCAGAACCTCCCCTCCCCCCAGGTTCCTGGGCCTCCCTCGGAGCCTCAGGGCTGAGCTGAGAAATACTTGAGTATTATCTTCCTGAGAAAACAGTCTCTGCCCAATGCACGTCTCATTCTCAGAGCCTAGCAAAGCTCGTTCATGCCAAATGAACTTAATGATTTCAGAGAACGAATCTGCAATATATCGAATGGGGGGGGTGGGGGGTGGGAAACGGATACCGAAGACATTATTACCTTACGTTGGATAAAACGTAGCTCTAGCTTCTCTATGCAGATTTAGTTCAACAGTCGATACCTTCCCAATGAATGGGTGTTAAGCGAGGCAGAGTTCACATTTCTTGACGAGCTTGTGCTCGCCGATTTTGGACAAGGAAGGACGGGCAGGAGGTAGAGCAGGGAAGGGGACAGGTGGAGGACATGTACAAAGGAAGAACCGAAAGAAGAAACACGCACAGCCCAGCAATCACATGTCGGCAGAAAATGAGGAAAGGTGACCTGAAAGGGGAATAAAATATGGGAAACAGGAGAAAATGGGAGTTTATAGTAAAACAAACAAACAAAAAAGAAAATGAAGTTGCCTGAGACCGAGTGCTAAGATAGAACGCTCGCAAACTGCTCTAACGGGACCTTCTGGGAGGCAGGGAGTCTGGCGACCCGACGTGAACAGATACCAAGCGATGTGTCTGTCACCCTGCGTGTGACGGGCTCTTCTCAGTCAGCCCCAGCGTGTTGCACTGATGTTTTATTGCCAGTCTCAGGAACTATGGGTTAAAGTTCAAGGCCGTTGTTACATATGGATGTGGCTGGAAGAGAGGATCAAAATGACTAGTATTTAGAAAAACCATCCAAAATCAAACCTGTCTGTAGAAGACATCCAGCCTCTACGGAGGTGGGGGACCACAAATGTCAATGCTGCTCATGGTTCCCGATTTTCTCCTCTGTGACAACCCTTGTCAACGCTGAGGGAGGACATCCGGACAGAGCTTTGGGAGGCGTCACCATCACAGCCACTGCCCTGGGACAGGCTGAGACGCCAGGTCAGTGAAAATGTGGCAGATGAGATAGCACCCCGTGCCCCGTTTGGCGTGTGATGCTGGCTGTTCCCCTCTGCTTTCCAAATCTCACACGAATTTCTCTTGAGGCTAATTGACCTTCATCTCGTGTGACACGCGGAAGGGAACGTTGCAAAATGCGGATTCCGATTTAGCTAAATGGATACCGTACCAAACCACTGCGGTCTGGGCAGGCCAACTTGGCATCCATTTACACGTCTTTGAACCGTGCATGGCTTCCAGACAGAGACAGTAGAAAATGATGTTTACACCTCATAATATGCAACTATCGCTTCTACAGTTGAAAACACATCCACCCTGTCTCCAAAACAGGCTACATAGCCCCGTGGGTTACTTTACCCATTCTGGCGTGATGTTCATTTCTCCTTTGGTTGAGATCCACTCTCTCTTGGATAGCCTGTAATTGAAATACTGAAATAGAAGAATATTGTCGTTTGAAATGTATTCACTACATAGACGTTTTTGAAATTTTAAAACCGGAGGCTGGAAATAAGGTTTTTGCAGATCTAATCAAGTCTTAAAGAGGTCATATCAGATTAGGGTGGGCCCTTATCCAATTACTGGTGTCCTTATAAAAAGAGGAAAACTTGGGCACACACGAAGAATGAATGCCCTAAGATGGGGGGGCAGAGGTTGAGGTGATTGAGCCAGGGAGCACCAAAGGTTGCTGGTTCGCACCAGAAGGTAGGAGGGACGCAGGGAGCAGATTCTCAGAGCCTCCGAAAGGAAGGCTCACCACCTCGATTTGGAATTTCTAGCCTCCAGACTGTAAGAGAATAACTACATTTCTGTTGTTTTAAGCTACCCCGTTTGTGGGACATGCACGTCTAAGAGGACGTGTCCTTTGTCCCGACATACTTCCTGCTCCTCTGGCACAGGAGCCAGCCAGTTTCTCCTTGATGATCCCAGTCTTCCCAGTTGGAAGAGTAACCTTGTTCTTTGCCTGTTGGTTCTTTAGCATGAGAATCCCGAAGTGGCCAAGGGCCACATCAACTTCCAGGTTAAGGTAGCCGTTGCTGTGTCTGCTGGCACAAGCATCTCTCTCCCTTGGGAACGAAGCCTTCTAGATGGTACCCCAAAGATCTTTTCTCCTGTCTTTAGCGAACTTAAATCTGTCTTTGCTTGTTTTGGATGGTGGGGAGAAAAATCACTAATCAGAAACAGTAGGGGGGATGATGTCAGGATTAGTGATAGAATAGCAGGAAAATAATAATTACTATAATTATAATGCTCTGCATTTAAATGGCACTTTCTTTCCAAAGATCTGATGACACTTTTCTAAATATGGCTTTTGAATTCAAAAGCATTTCTTGAAGAAGACAGAGTAAAATATAATTATTTCAAGTTTTACTCTGAAATATAATTTAATTCATACAAAGCAGATTTACTGGAAATCGAATCGACATACACATGAAGGTTTCGATGGCATATTTTTTGACAAAGGATGTCCCAGGGTATGGGTCTTAGAGGAAAGAATTAAACATCACTGCTAACGCATTTCCTTGTCATGGATAGAGGCTAAAATTATCAGGTAGCAGATTGAATGAAAATTATCAGGTAGAAGATTGAATAAAAGGCAAAAATGGACATCTCCCTACTTCTAATCTGATGCTCCTGCCAGAGGTATTTTAAATGGCACGGCCCCAGGACTTCAGCCAATGATGAAACGTTTTGCTCCTGGCAAAGCAAGAGAAGCTAGAAAGTTTCTTGTAAGATGGCAGACATATAGAAAGAAAGAAATCTGAAGAAATATCTAAGCTAGAGGTGCACAGGAGGGAAGGTACAGCCTACAGTTTTTTTCCTTCAGTCTTTGGACCACTGCGGAGTTTATAAATGGCCTTGAGGGCATCTGTGAACCCTCAGCACCCATAAAGGACATTCCTAATGATGGGGGTGGCTACCCCTTACATTCGATTTTACAACGGTCTCAACCCAATGGGCTAAGAACTGCCGGCCTACAGAGGTGCCTTGAGGACATTGACTTGACATTGCTCTGAGAAGTAAGCCCCAAAGAGCACCAGCTTCTACATAGTTCGGATCTTGTCTAGCCCTCCAGCCTCAGCTGAAAGGCAGCAGAAAGTAGAGATAACATGGCAGACTCTGGAGAAAGAGAGTCTAGCTCCAGCCCCGTCCCCCCTCACCCTGCCATTGTACGACCCTGAGCAAGTTCCTTCGTCACTTAACCCTTCTGCAGCTCAGTTTCCTTATGTCTAATATGGGGAACGATAGTAGTATCTATGTCACCTGGTTTGGGGGCAAACTACGTGCCACCACGGTTGTCTTCTGTGACTTCAAAAACCATGTTCCTTCCCACTTCGGGGTCTTTGCCCAACGTATTCTTTCCGCCCGGAAAGTATTTTGCACCATCTTTTTTTTTTTTTTTTTTAACTTAAAAATGTTTATTTTATTAGTTTCAACTATATAATGCGCAGGTTAGACATTTATAGAGTTTATAAAACGATCCCCCCAATGGCTCTCTCTCCCCTCCGACGCTCCGCCCGGCCATCACATCACTGCTGACTGCGTTCCCCGCGCCGTGCTCCCCATCCCCCGACCATCTATCAACTGCTAACTTGAACTTCTTTAACCCTTCACCCCATTCTCCCAGCCTCCCAGACCCTCTCCTCTCTGGCCGTCACCAGATTGTCCTCTATTTTTGTGAGTCTGGTTTTGATTAGTTTGGTTTTTGTGTTTTTTTTTTCTTGGTTCCTTAGATTATGCGTATATAAGTGAAATCATATGGTATTTATCTTTCTGACTGACCTATTTCACTCAGCATTAAGACCCTCGAGGTTCATCCATTCTTGCCTTAAGTCATTGCTGCGGCTGATCCTGCAGGTCTCAGCTCAGATGTCACAGGGGAAGCTCTGACACCCTCAGTCCCTCTTTATTATGCTCCGAGTGCCCCAGCGGTGTGCCGGAGTTGGTCGCGCTGGCTAAAGGGAGCTGACTGTTAAATACTCTGGAATTTTGTAAGCTGGCAACTGCTGGTAGCTTGAAATCAAGCAGAGTGGGAGTATGCACATCGTGAAGATCAGCAAATGCTTCACATTAGGACTTTTTCTTTTTTTTAAGTTGGTTTACTAACAACCACTGTATGTAGCATGCTGTATATTTTCCCTGTCACGGTTTTAATTATACGATTATTTCTCTGATTGTTTCTTTGAGGTCTGCGTCTCTCACCGAGCCGCGGGCTCTGTGAGGCAAGAACTCTATCTGCCTATTCGTCGTTATACTTGTGGTACTTAATACAGAGTCTGGCCTGAGGCTTAACTCTGTTAAAGAAATAGATCAACGAAGAAGGCAGTCTGGCAAGTGGCACTTCTGCCGCTTCCTTGGGCAGGAGGAGAATTGCTCAGAAATTAAGGAAGTAGAATCAGTGTTGACATCATCCTTCTGATACTCCTTTCCCTGTGTCATGTGATGCCGGGGGGGAGACACGTGGTGTAGCTCTTGCTATGGGGCCCTTAGAAGTTCCTGACAACCACAGGGCTCGGATGACCACGCGGGGTGAAAAATCATCCACCGCTTTTTTAACCTCCTCTCTGATCATCTGGAGAAGCTTGGTAATCGAGCTATAGCTCCCAGAGAGGATGCCGCGCGTGCCTCTCTGCTGCTCACATCGGCAGCTTCGGTGACACGAGGTGGCTGTAAAATGCCTGAGGAGCAGTGCTCCAGGGTGGCGCTTTGCCCGTCACCCCTTGGTACTTTGCAGCCAGAGAGGGTATCACCGGGTGGTTTGGATTACCTGAAGCCCATGAGTTGGGAAATTTAAAAAGCTCAAAACGGACGGCCCACATGGCTTATCAGAGGTGGAAAAGCTGGGCTTGTCTCGACAGCTGAGCTGTGGTAGCCTAAGTACCTGCCCCCTGTATCTGTGCCTTCCAGCCCTGAGAGTGGCCTTCATGGCCAGCAAGGCCCCCAGACCCCCCTGGAAAGTCAGCAATTTCCTTTCCTGTCCGAGGCCGTTGGCCTCTGCTGAGGCCAGCTTTCGCTAGACATTGACCCCTGTGGATTTGCCCCGTGTGGCCCGCTGTCACGCAGAGGCGTCACCACACCAGGCAGACTAGGCGTGGAGGAAAAGCGGATTCGGCAGAGACAAGGCGTGCCGCTACAGGATACACCAAGCCACGGCCCCATCCCAAGGATGCCAGAATGAGCTGCGTAGGTGAGTGGAGAATGAGCCTCTATCATACTCGGTAACCACAAACACAACTGAATATCCTAAGTCCATCGGGAGACGGGCCTCCCCAGTCTAGAACCACCCAATCCTCATCCCTCATCAGGCTTTTTGGACGGACAGGATGTGGCTCAGAAACTCACCTGCAGACCCTCAAATGCACACACCTCAGGGCGATGCCCAGAGATCAAGCTGCAGACAATCAAGGGCTTCTAGACTGAATATCCCATCCTGAGAGCCTGAGAAGTTGTGAAATTCTGTGATCATCAGACGTTAGGAAACTCAAGCAAACAAACAAACAGCTCGTCGTGGATGCAGCAGCCAAATGACCTCACGGCCTCCTCAAACTAGCTGAGCTCACCTGGACAGCCTCCGTCACCGCCCTCCCAGATGGCCAGCGGGGACTCTCCTAGAGGCTATTTCTCAAGCTTTAATGCTTGTCAAAAGGCAGCTTCTTAAAGGTAATTTTCTTTTAAAAAAAAGGCAGGTTCTGATTGGGGACATTGGGGGTCCGAGGTGGTGAATTTCTTGCACTGTCTCAGGACCGCAAAAACGGCTGACCTAAGGACCACACCTTGACTGGCAGGCCTGGAGGACATTGCACAGAGGGGTGATGACCATGGGGACAAGTGGCCACAGGTGCTCAGGATGGCTCTGTGGGACCTGCTGGGAGCTCTGCCAGCGGATCCGATTTTACTCTCCACACCAATTTGTAGAAAATAGAGATGCTAATAAAATCGGTGCAATGGAGATGATAATACCTGCTTTTTCCCCCCCTCAGCCTCTCATCAATATCATGAGGAAAAAAACTTAATTTTTTTTTTAAGTTTTTCAAATACGAGGTTCACAGATACACTGTACTCTTGTCATCCCCTTGGTCCTAAGCTGAGCTGTCCTTTTTAATGAGCTGGTGGCAAACCTGCGGCTTGGCTAACCAGAGCCCATAAATGTTAGGATGCTTACTGGGGCTAATGTGGTTTTTCACCCCTGAACTGTGTCTGACAGCCCACCTGAGGCTGAAAGGCCAGGGTGTTTTAGGTCTAGTTAAGCGACACCAAAATCCTCCGGGTTGAAGCTAAATGCCCCCTTTTCCTCTCTCGACGTGCCAGCTGAGGGCACAGTGTATCCTCAGCACCAAAGGTGCCGGCACAGATGGGGCTGTTCTGGGCTGCTTCTCCTATATTTGACACGGCCCTAATTACCCGCAGGTCTCTGAGCGAGGAGGGCTGATGAGCAGTTCAAGTTCCCTGCATAGAAATAGCCTCGGAATAGTTCCAGTGTTGTTTCTAATTGCGATGGATGAGCAGACTGTCTCATTAATCCTCCCCTATCAGCGTGCAAACTGGCTGCCCCAGAATAGCCCTGAGCGCCGCCAGCCCGCAGCCCGCGGCGCGGCTGGTGGTTTGGGACAAACTGGAGCAGGAAGGAGCTCTTCCCCAGGGACGGGTGTGTGTTTGGGGGCGAGGAGCAGCCTACGGCTTCTGGAATCTCGGGTTAAGGTGCAAACCGGATGTGGGAGAGTAAAGGACAGCAAGCACATCGAGCCTAGGCAAGAGCGGTCCCGAAAAGCTATGGAACAGCTGAAATATGTCCTTCAAATGTCCCCGGCACGTTCCTGTGCCCTCTCTGTGTGAACGTTTTGCTCTGTTCAATTCTCCTTGCTCTGTCCTGTCTCCACTCGACGCAGGGTCTGACGTCAGTCATGTCCACCTCAGTATAAATATTCCACTAATATGCTTTCACACGATTATAGCTTTCCAATTTGCCAAAGTTATTTTCCTTTATACATCCACTCTATTAGGCTCTCACAGCGATCGCGCGAGGTTAGCAATGGCAGGCATAAAGCTCTGAACGTAAACGATGTTCGGGGGGCATCAACACGCATAGATAATTGGTCCACGTGGACCCTACTGACGACCGCAGTTGGGACTCTCATGACCAGCGAGGGAATAGCTTTCCAATTTGCCAAAGTTATTTTCCTTTATACATCCACTCTATTAGGCTCTCACAGCGATCGCGCGAGGTTAGCAATGGCAGGCATAAAGCTCTGAACGTAAACGATGTTCGGGGGGCATCAACACGCATAGATAATTGGTCCACGTGGACCCTACTGAAGACCGCAGTTGGGACTCTCGTGACCAGAGGGAAAATCAGAGAAGTGACTTTCTGACCCAAGGCTGCTTTAACGAGGCTTAGTTACACTGGGGGGTGCTATGTGTTATGTGCAAACGGTACATTCATACTTTAAAGCACTTGGGGTCTCTTCCCTGGGCTGTCTGGTTTGGCCAGCTCTCTGCCTCTCAACTCATACGCGGTTTTCCAGAGGCCGCCTCGTCCCTACCCAGTCACGTGATGATAGCACTCTGAGCCCGGGAGAGGTCTGGGACTCGTAACTGCACTCTGGGTCACCGGTCACTGGATGGGGAATGGGGAATTGAGCAAGACGGGCTGTTCTGAGTCAGATCTTCAGGAATTTAGAATTAGGCAAGAGACGAGAGGTCGGCTTCTCCCTGGGTAGCTGGACGCTCCCTCTGCCCGATTGGGAGAGTTGGTGTCTATTTTTTCAGTGGAGAAAACTGAGAACATAGTCCAAACGAACAGAGCGGGGAGCTGGGGAGAACGGCCTGGATGCCTTACAGCTTTTCAGTCCCCGGTCCCCAGCCCCGTCCTCAGGGCGTCTTATTATTCCTTGGCTTCTTTGAGCCATTACCGACTCCTTATGATACTCCCCAGGATTCTCCTGTTCTCTTGTCTCACTTAAACTTGGCCTGAGTGGTTCTCGTTACTTACACCTTCGAGGGTCCTCCCTGGGAAAACGGCTCAGAAATGTTCGTGATCCCAAGAAGCCTGAACACCTGCTGTCTGAGAAATGACAGGCCCACCGTCCCGTGTCCTAACCGTCAGTGGCCTCTCTGCTGGGTCGTGCCAGGCGCGGTCTCTGTTTAAGTCCCTACAGACTGCGGTCATCATCGCTATTCACAGGCAAGTCCTCGTTTTAGTGCACAGAGGGCGAAGAAGGATTAAATCCGTTACAGTTATTGCTGAGGATCCAACTTTACACCATGAGACCATGTTCAGAGTTACCACGCATCACGAGAGAACAGAAGGGTGACGTGTAATCGCGCATGTGTTACCGATGTCTGGAGGTGAGTTCCCAGTCCTTAGAGGAAACAAGAGACTGCGTCATCTGTGTCACTTTACTCGTCCCAATTTCTAGACAGCCATCTAGAGAAGCAGATACGGGTGGGCCTCACATTCTCCAGACGGAGAAAGTGAGGCCCAGACAGGTGTGCATTCCGGATCTTTAAAAATAAAAGGGTATATGAGTCCCCTCCTCTTCGGAGAAGCCTGTGCTCATCCACAATTTTAATTATAAATATAATATAGGCTCATCAAACATAATTTTGAAAATAGAAAAAATAAAAAGAAAAATTGGGATGTTAAAAATAAAAATCCCTTTTATGTCCAGTGGAAATATTTTGGTTTATTTCCTAACATGTGGTTTATTTCCAAATATTTTGGTTTATTTTCTAGGCATCATTTACATAGCTGTCATTGTGCTGTATGTACAATTATATAATTATTATTCTTATTGCTTAGCATGATATCAAAAGTATTTTGCAAGTTATGTCTTAGTCTTACCAATCATGTTTAAGAATCGTATCATCTGCCATCTTGTGAACGTATGCTATGTTTTATAAAATACGATGTATTTTGAATAAGAATGTTCCTGTTTTTTCTGCAACTACGAACATCCCCAACGTCATCCGTCGAATTAAAAGACGATATGTCTGTACCTAGCTCCATCCTGCCCTTCCCTCTGGCCGCACGGCCGTCTCATTCTTCTCCACGAACCCACGTTTCTACGTCCTTCAAGTCACTTGTCTTTGCTACGGTGACCGTACGCCAGACGCCCTCGGCTCCCATCGACAGAGCTGCTGTCCTGTTATCTGGCGTGTGTTCGTGGGCGGTTTCGCTTGCTTGTCATTTTGCCAGGTCCTTCCCCGCCTAAATGCTTACTGTAAAATTAAAGATTAGTAATTTCTGTGGAAGGAGAAAGAAGGGGCAGGAATAAGGAAGTGAGGGGCCGTGAACTAACGCTGCGTTTACATCCCCTGCTCGACTAAGTTATAGTCTTCTTATGCACTGATGACTAATACCAATTTCGTTTCACATTATGTTACCAGTTCCTATTACACTTCTAGCTTAGAAGTGATCTTATTTATTATGCCACAGTGAACTTTTCTAGTCTGCTGCCTCGACTTTGAGGTACTATCTTAATGAGGCGATGCACTGTGGAAGTTTACAAATATAGAGTCTTTCTAATGGGGCACGTAGTGGGCATTTCAGCCAGGACTTTATCCTAGGGCGAGTAATGCAACCCACATTTCTTGCTTCTGAGACTTCTGAGATGGTACATTAATCCTTGAAATATTATTTTCCCTTGGGCATTTTCTCCTTTTATCTGAGGCTTTCTGCCTATGAAAAAGTCACTTTTAAAAAGGCCAGCAGACAGTCGAAAACATACCTCTGAAACCTTGTGAGATAGCATGGTTTTCTTGAGGAGAAACCACTGGATCCAACTAGCGGAAACAGAGAAAGCACTGTTCCTTCACATTAAAGGATAATTCTATTGACTGTCTTGCTTTAGGTCATATGTTTTGAGGGTTTGTTTTTTTCTTTTTTCTATTTTTAACCAACTTATGACATCTTAGACTAGGAAATAAAGAAGGAGAGGGGATTGAGGAGAAGGTTACCCTTATGGTTCCTCTGTTGGTGACATGAATTAATCGTCACGTACTGAGCAAGCTTCCTGCTCTCGGGCCTTCCCGTCCAAGCTCCCTGGGCTAAACACCCAAAGTCTGAGCCGCCTTGGGCCAAGCTTACCGAGAGGCACGTACACCTGCACAAGCTAATCAGAACCGTGTTTTAACATTACCTCAAAATTATTGTAATTCGGCCGAATGCTTCAACAGTTTATGTAAATAACTATCATTAGTATTATTTTTATACAGTCTAATCAAATTTTACATTTTCTCCTTTCTTGGGCTAGTTATCCAATATCCCTCATCAGTGCTCGTGTCGCCAAATTTGCCTAAATCTGTGTACATTTCAGTTCTCATTTTGTTCACATTCTCTCGCTGACCACCTCTGTCAGACGATGAATAATATTTACGCAAACACTTTCATCGTACCTGGTATTAACATCCAAATACATGCTTTTTTGTTGTTTAAATAAAAAATGAGTAAAGTAGGGTCAAAGGGGGTCTCGGAAGAGTTAGGGAGCCGACGATGAGATACACCGTGTTCAGACATTGGGCAATAAGAAATGCAGGCCTACGATCCATAAGAGAAACTGATGAGACAATGTCATAATTACTTTCGTTTTTTTTTTTTTCCCATAGAAGCGTTTTCTGGACCAGCACGTCGGGAGGAAGAGCCCAAGAAGAGCAACATACTCGGAACTGGACCACACAGATGCAAACATGGAAGTCCAGAAGGTGACATGGCAGAAGGGACCCAGAGTAGAGTTTGGTCAAGGAGAAAAATCTCTATCTGTAGGGGCTCAGGCTTCAACGTGGATGAACCCTAAAAACGTTATGTTAAGTGAAGGAGGCCAGACACAAAAGGCCGCACGGTTACATGATTCCGCTGCTGTGAAATATTCAGAAGAGGCGGGTTCACAGAGACAAAGGTTAATGGTCTCTGGGGCCTGGGTCTAACTAGCCTGGGGTTTCTTTCCGCGGTGATGAAAATGTTCTGAAATTAATTAGCGGCGAGGGCGCATGATTTGGTGACTGGACTAGAAACCGCTGAATTGCACATCTTAAAGGGGTGGATTTCGTGGTGTGCGAATGACCTCTCAATTTCTTAAAAGTTAGCATGCATCTTTTCTTCATCTGAACCCTAGAGCACTTATGAGCCACCCCTGCAGTGGTCATCTTACCAGATGCCCACACCAAACACCAGCCCCGTGATCTAAAGGAGGGGTCAAGGGGTCCTGTCCTTCCCTCACCGCTTAGTGGGAGGTTTCAGTGAGTACTCTCAGAAAGTACTTAGCGCGTACTGAGCTGGTCTTGGGGGCCGACGGTCTGCATTTGTCACCAGCTCCCAGGTGGATAATGTTGATCGACGTCCCTGTTTCTGAGCAGTAAGACTGATAAGTAAGACTCTACTTATCAGCGAGGGCTTCCTGGAGGAGGCGGTCAGACCAGGTTTTGAAGGCAGAAGGGACATAGATGGTTTAACAGGGCAGACGATGATATTCCAGAAGGAATAAAATGGTTGAAAGGTGGAAACACGCAAGGCAGATGCACACAGTAACAAGTAGACTGACTCAGCAATGCCAGAGAGGCGAGGACACATGGCAGAAAAACAAATAAATAATCGATCGAAGAACTTCGGTGGCCGTCTTATGACGTCTGGATGTGTCACACTCCACCAGCAATTCTGAGGCTATGTTTGCTGGGGCACCAATGGCATGTGAGCTATTCACAGGGATCTGTCTGGCTGTGCAGTCAGATTAAGAGAGGGAATTCTGGAGTCCTACATTTATTTTTTTAACTTCATTTTGAAGATGCTTCTTTCTCTTCTCAAGGCAGAGTGCACGTTTCCCGCTCTCTTTTAAAAAGGGGTTCACGACACTAGGTATGCGTCTTTTCCAAGGTGCCAAATGCCGTGACTTTTCTCTCTCTCTCTTTGAAAAGGTGATTTCCAATCCTGACTGTACTTTCGAATGATCTAAGGAGCTTCTTAGAAAATATCACTGCCCAAGCTTCATCTTTAGACATTCGGATTTCGTAGGCCTGAGGTGGGGCTTGGGAAGCAGAAGTTTTCACCAGCTGCCCACGTGATTCGAAGGTGCGGCCGCTGCTCATCCATCAGCATCTCAGCTGACTCTGCCTCCGCAGGGGACACAGAGCAGTGTCCGCCCTGAGCTTCCACGGATTCCCCAGTCACAAGAGGTGTCCAAGAGTCAAAGGGTGACGAGGTCTCATCGACTCTTCATAAAGTGCTCTCTACGCCTGACCGACTTCCGTGAGGTGTGTTAGGGATTATACAGCGTGGTCAACAGTTGTCTCTGGGAGACAAAATGAGGCCAACTTCTCCATCTCTCCACTTGCACCTAAAACCAGTCTTGTCTTTTTTTTCTTTCTTTTTTCCCCACATGCCTGATGACCAGCTAGCTACCAAGCGGTCTGGAGATGGGAAAAAAAAGAAAAAGAAATATACTTTCTCTGATGTTCACGATTGGACCCCATGTAGATTTCTGGTCAACACATGTGAACCAGTAATAATAACGATTCTAATTCAACTTGTTGATAAGTTAAAAATTCAGTCAGTCCAGCTGGTTATTCTGTCGGGGCAAATAGTTGGAGAAAACTTTTCACTTGTATTAAAGTAACTGAAGATTTTTGGACTTGGGTTTCAATAACTTGCTTATCTTTTTTTCTATCTGATCTAGGTGTGGTCTCTTCACAGTCTTTGGGGGTTATTGGAGAACATTTAGGCTGTGGAGTTTGAGGATTAATTTCAATAGTTGCTTGAACCTACTAGCAGAAAAAATCAAAAGTAGGAAGAAACTAAAGAGAAAAAAATCAATGGAGGAGTGTTATATGGCGTCCCCCTCCAAACTCCCACAAACAGAGGAAACTCTTACAGAATAAGAAGAGTTAGGACAGTTCTCGCTGACTAAGTGACTGCTATGTGTCGGATGCATCTTTTATGTCATCTTTCTTACTATGACATTATCTCTGAAGCAAGTACTGGAATCCATGTCATCGTCTGGGAAATCAAGTGTCAGACAATGTCAGTTTCTTGATCAAGGTCTCACAAGTGATGATCAGGGGAGTTGAGATTCATATCTATGTGCGTCTCCCTCTGAGGTTCTGACTTGTGCCCATCCACCTATCCCAAAGGGTACGCTAATTCATCTTAAAGAGAAAAAAAAAATGTCCACAGATAACTAGAAGATAACCAACTCGTGGGCTATAAAAAGCATTGTTTTATCCAGGAATAATGCCCAGCGAAGTTAACGATTGTTGCTTTTCGATAGGATTACAAGAATCACGCACAGGGAGGTAGTGGCTGTAATAAATCTTTATATGAAAATGAGCTCCCTGTCATGCGTCATGTAATGCAATTCTTTCAATTGATCGAAATTGGCTTTTCAGCTTCTCCAGGAAGCTCTTCTTATTGACAGAATGAAAATCCAATTGCCTTAAGTGTCTTGCAGGACGCCAACTCCAGACTGTGCTTGCTGTTCCCAGGCAGGTCTCTCGTTCGCTTTCGGCCCTGGGGTTTGGGGAGAGAATTCCTCATCCGGGAGGGGAACCCCGCATCGTCTCCGCTCCACTCCAGCCTGTGCCCGCGTCACACGCTCCTTCCTGAAGGCCGAAACCTCCATCTTCTCTTCCTCTCTGGACACTCCGCTCACACTGGCTTCGAGTTTCTTTTTCTCAATAAAGCCTTGCCCAAAAAGAATGCACCCCAAATATTCCATGTTGTTTCTTTCCCAAATTATTGAGGCGTGTATTGCTGGAATCACTCAGCCTGGCCTGTAGTCATTCGTTATCTTGTATTATTGTCCTCAGTGTCATAAATATTGGCTCTACAGTAAGACTTATAGGGTCTTAAGGGTGAACAGCCTTCAGGACCACGCTGAGCTTGAGGACAGGTGTCAATTCAGTCCTGTAACACCAGATATTGACTTGACTCGAATTCCTGCCTATTCAGACATAGACGAGGACCCGAGAGAGGCTGAAAATCCGAGGAAATCCGCGCCCCTGTTACTAGCTAATCTGTGGTGGAGGGTTGGAGCCGGAGCATCCAGGGTCATCTTTTAGTTCTTTCTAGAACCTCATTAGCATCCCAAGTAGGCACAGGGTTTCAAGCCAGACCGTGCTCGTTTCCGGCCATTTCCAGAAGCTCTGGTTCACCTGCGGTACTCTCCATCTCTGTCAGGACCACAGTTCAGAATCCAGCAGCCTCTCAGCCTCATAAGCATCCAGGGGGAGAGCGGACAGAATATTGCCAGCGCTCTCATCGTAAAAGGAGATGCCCTCTGAAGGAAATAGAGCTGCACAATTTCTATCATGCTGTGGTGAGCGAAGAAATATAAGCACAGCTGGGCCACCGCCAGGAACAGGTGTATTACTCGTCCTTAACTCAGTGAGGTACAGTGCGGCTGAGGCATGCTTAGCGGGGCGTTGTCACTTCGCAGGACTTCGCAGGACCTCTCTCCTCTCTCCTCATCGCTGGAATCAGGACAACTTTCTGCAAAGCGCAGGCCATCTTGAATTCTGGGGAGCAGCTAGCAGGCTATTTCTTAGAGGACTGTGCGAATCCCATGTCATTTTGGGGATCAGCATTGCAATGTCTTAGACGATTATGAGTGGGAAACGCACTGTGGTGTAGTAGACATACTTGGCTTTGGTTTCAACTTCTGTCACAAAATGGTTGTGTGACCTTTGTCAGTTCGCCCTCCCTGTCTGAGAAGGAATCCTGCTCATTCCCACATGAACAGGGACATAGAAGTCAGTGAGGAAAACTTAAAGCCCTTCCGAACCACGGCTGTTTCCACTGGGTTCATTATTTGGGATGTGCCGGATGCATAATAGCTGCTCAACAAAAAGTTGCTGTTTGTTTTGCTGATTGATTTTCTGGCTTTTAAACCCACTGGAATCCTGTAAACAGTAGGTGCTTCTCTCCTCGGAAGTAAGTCTGAAAAGGAGCTGCCAAGTTTCAGAGCATCCTGTGGCCCACACCAAATCACAGAATGAGCATGGTTTTAGAGAGAACAGCACTTGGGCGCCCTGGGTTGGGTGCATAGGAAGTCCCACAGAGGGAGGCGCAAGTCTCTGTCCCCTGGGGGACCCGGGCTGAGTTTGCTGGGAGCGTCTTCCTTCCTCCCATTCAGGCAGCGAGTTTGGAACCCATTTCCAACCCACTCCAAGCACAGAAACAGGCTGGAAAGGACCAAATGGAATGAGGTAATCGAATCCGCTCCAGCGCCAACAAAGGAAGCCATCCGAAACGCGAGAACAAATAAAATACAGACCTCTGGCGTTGCCCAGCACGAGGGCCGCAGTTCGAAAGGGGACCGATATTACTTTTAATAGATCTTGGTAAAGCTGCCGAGAGACCTCAGTCTCTCAGCTCTCCGTATTATTTATCGATGGGGCTGGTGTCCTCGCTGAATCACGAGTGCTTTATAGAATGACACAAGCTTTGGGTTGCAGGATGCAGCCCAGGAAAGAGAAGGCTTGGCTCTGGAGCGCTTTCTTATTCAGCTGTGTGGTTCTGTTGCATTTTCTCATGTCTTCATTTCTTCATCTGGAAAACCGAGAGATGCACACAGGCTTCTGTCACCTCCCTCTTTCTCAGAGCTGTTGACTAGGCAGCCGTTGTTCAGTGAGAAGATTCTTCATCTCTCAGATCTCATTATGAATTCCCCCAAACAGTACTTACTCGATAGTTTTTATTTGTAGTTCTTAAGTCCATGGACCTCCGGAAAGACAGACCCTAAGCATTCGTGAACTTGACCGTGACCCAGTCTGTGGCTGCAAGAGCGACTCAGATGTCTCTAATGGATACCACTTGGCCCACGAGCTGTCTTGAGCAGAGTAGTGGCATAATGTCAGAACTTGGGGTCTATTCTGGCTTTGTCGCCAGTTTGTTGTGAAGTCTGGAACAAGTTAATTTATTTATTTTTTCTCATCTATAAAATGAGAGGATTGGACTAGATACTTTTGATGTCCCCGCCAGCTCTGACAGTCTGTATTATAATAATGAAATTTGTGACATTGCTTCTTTTTCAAGAAGCAAAAAAAAAAAAAAAAAAAAAAAAAAAAAAAAACTTACCTTACTTTTCTAGAGTAGATTTTTTAAAAAAAATTGGCTTTAAAGACACAGAAGACAAATGGTGTCTTACTTTCACTCCATTAAGAAAACCCCCTTGTTGCCAAATTAGTGACATGGTAAATTGGGGTTATAGTGTCCAGTGTCTCTCCTTGGCCGGCTCAAACTGGTAATCAATCCTGGCTCTGTGAAATAGACGATTCTCTTGAAAACAAAGCCACCACCAGTTATCTCAATAATAATGTAAATCTAGAAAAAAATAGAAGAATTTTTTTGCCTACCTTTGCTGTTAAATAAGCAAGATTTCTGTCTAAAGCAAAATTGCAGGAATGTGTTTTATGAAATACCTTCTGCCTGTCTCTATGCCCAGCTGTCTTTCTGTCTGTATCTCTCCTACATCCGGTCGTGCATCTTTAATTTTAGGTCAGAAAGACTGAAAATTCTCAGCTCAAAAAGTAAATTCTTACATCTCGGATATTTATAACGCATATCTCAAATATTTCTTTTCTATTAATGCAAAAGCTTCAATTTAATCCCAGAGCCAAAGATTGAGCTGTGGTTTGTTTATTTGTTTTCATTTATTTGGTAGGAATAGGGAGAAGGTGTAACATCCTTGGCTTTTGTCAAATAAGACCTAAAATAAGATCCCACCAAATGATGGTGTTGTTCCATTTTATATAGATGAATAATAGGATTTTTTTTCCTCCCCAAAATCGAGTTGGGTGAGCTGATGCCCACAAAGCCATTGCTGGGGGGAAATGTTATGTTACGTTTGCGATACTCTTTAATTACTCGCTGTTGCATAGATGGGGGTGAAATTGTGGGGAGCGGAGACAAGCAGAGATCAAGGTGACATGGAATATGGAGACAGTGCTGCCGAGGGAGGGACCCGAGGGACCCCAGCTGTGTGGCGGAAAAACCACGTCACGTGAAGATCAAAGGAGCACGGTCACATGCTGTTAGGCCCTGACTCTCGCCTACGAGGCTCACGGACCTCTTTGCAAACCGGGCCCCCCCCAGTGGCTGCATTGAGGTCTTCTCAATGCTGAGTGTTCTGTAGGGCAGCACCGAAGCTGAGGAGATCACGTAATCATATTTGCAACTCAACAATACTGGTTCGATGATCAATAAGCTGCGTGGTGGGCACAGGGAAGAAATAGAGGGGTAAAATTGGAAGTCGGCAGCGCCCAGATGGCGTGATTTGGGTGGGCTGCACCATCCCCAAAGAGCTCTACCGCCAAGATCTCGGCACGATCTGCAGCGGCCCCGTCACTTCTGTTTTAAGGGTGTGACGTGTCCCTTGCCGAGTAGAAGCTCCTTTGCAAACTGAATCTTTCTCCAAGCGAGTTTAGATTCTTCTGTATTTTGTTAAGCTCTTCCTCTGGTTTGTAATGACTTCTTCTTTAGCCTCCCGGGGAACTCCTGCTTATCCCTGAAGACTCCCCTGCTCATCTTTTCCAGGTGACATCTAGCCAGTTCTCCACCGGCTCAACTAGGGTTCACGCATTTTTCTGCGCACGCCTAATGATGTCTTTGAAGAACGTCGCCTTCTCAAGTATTGTTCTGTGGCTTATAACTACATAGCGTAGCGACTTGGGGCTAATAACGGGTATGCAGAACATCGTCAAGCAATGGCCGCCGCCCTTCTACCCCGTGCTCCTGACTGCAATCTCCTCGTCACCTTTAGCGTTCTCAGTATAATTCAAAGGTGTGACAAAGAACGCTGGCGTTTCATCAGTATTTCTTATTTTATCATAGTTGTATTTTTTTTTTCTCAATGGAAACATGTATAACTAGAACTTAAGCAGCTTCAGTTCAAAATCTTTTTTTTAGGAAGTCAAGGTCAAATGGATAGTTGATGTTTTGACAGTACACCTGCGCCATGCAGGTGTGAGGCATATCAGCTCTCATCGCTCTGAAATTTCTTCTGTCTGTTCCAAGGGATCTGGCAATTTCTCCTTTCTCCTGTTGCTTTGCTTAGTGTGTGATGGGCAGTCCTTCTGCATGCATCTCAAGAACAAAATGCAACACAGCTTCATCGACTGATCTGATATGTATACATATATATATTAGATCCAGCAAAGTATCTGGTAGCTGCTTTGCAAGAATATATGGCACTGTAGTTCTTTGTCTAATATCAAAATGTATGTTACTAATATAAATATGTGTCCTACTGACCTGTTTCTATGTATTTCTGCATCCGGAATAACTTGATTTCATTGCCAAATTATAGAGAAAACTTTTGAAGACCTTTC